GAGTGGCTTAATTTGTAGTATGGATCCCACTTTCAGGCACCCCAAATTCCTCACCGCTTGCCCCTAAAGAATGAGCGTGTGACGGGGGAGGGGTAGGTTTTAGGGGCAAAGTGCAGCCATCTCTGTTGCACGGCTAAGAAAACAGGGACCACAGCGGGGAGCAAAGTCACAGAATCAGAGTCACAGTTGACTGTCTCCCGATTTGACTGGCCCTAGCTTTCTGGATTTTGTCACAGGCATTCTCAGGATAAGGTTTGTGAGACAAAATATGGGAAAGTTGGGAGAACTTGAAGAGATAAAGCAGTGACTTGTGAATCACTCTGAATGGCTGGATCAAAGAGATCCACCAAGGAAAACCATCAGTCAGTCATACGCAGTTCATTCTGTGAACCTCCTTCCCAAGTATATAGTAGTGTTAGTCGCTCAGTCGTCTCTGACCCTCTGCGATCCCATGGACTGTAGCCCACCAGGCTCCTCTGGCCATGGGGTTCTCCAGGCAAGAATACTTGGAGTGAATTGCCACTCCCTTCTCCAGAGGATCTTCCCGACCCAGGGATCAAACCCAGGACTCCTAGGTTACAGGCAGATTCTTTACCATCTGAGCTACAGGGAAGACCCCATCGCAAGTGTGTAGGAACTGTAAGTTCATAGGCAGAAGAATGAGAAACTCGGAGAACTCACTTTAGAGGCAAGTAGATATGGGCTGGAATTCTGGCCTTTGCAGTTATTGGACTTTCCAGATTCTCTCCGTGAAACCAGGACAATAGTAATCACCTTGTAAGCTTCTTATAAGAATGTATGCAAAATGATTTGTTTTGTGTTTGTGACCCTACCTTCTACAGCAATAAAATGGTGGCTTACTAATATTAAGACACTGACATTGAAAAAAAAGTTTATTGACAGTTTATTGGGCACCATGATAAAGATGATTAAGACACTGTCTCCAATGTTTAAATTGCTTTCTGTCAGATTAAAACTGAGATAACAAAGATAACTAATACTCACTGGGTAGGTACAAAGGTCTGGAGTTCTTAGAAGTACTTTTTAAGGATTTTCTCAATAAGTGTTTATTACAGTCCCAGGAATGAGGCCTTTAACCATTTTTCAGATAAGGAGACTGAAGCCCCAAGAGATGCAGTAATTTTTATCAGCTCCCTTGGGAAGCAGCAGAGCTAGGATTCACCTCTGGGTACCCTGTTTTTGGGGCTTGTAACCACCTAAAGGTTACAAGGTCTAGACTCAGCCAACAGTTCATTTCCAGTGGCTGCACTCTCTGCTGCCGTGTTATATTTTCCAGGTGCAAATATGAAATAAATCCCAGTGGCACCATGGATGAATGATATGAATACATTTTTATTTGACTACAGTTACTGCCGAAGTAACTGAGAAATCTGTATGTAGGTTAGGAAGCAACAGTTAGAACTGGACATGGAACAACAGACTGGTTCCAAATCAGGAAAGGAGTACGTCAAGGCTGTAAATTCTCACCCTGCTTATTTAACTTATATCCAGAGTACATCATGCAAAATGCCAAGCTGGATGAAGGACAAGCTGGAATCAAGATTACCAGGAGAAATATCAATAACCTCAGATATGCAGATGACACCACCCTTATGGCAGAAAGTGAAGAAGAACTAAAGAGCCTCTTGATGAAAGTGAAAGAGGTGAGTGAAAAAGTTGGTTTAAAACTCAGTATTCAGAAAATGAAGATCATGGCATCTGGTCCCATCACTTCATGGCAAATAGGTGGGGAAACAATAGAAACAGTGAGAGACTTTATTTTGGGGGCTCCAAAATCACTGCAGATGGTGACTGCAGCCATGAAATTAAAAGACACTTGCTCCTTGGAAGTAAAGCTATGACCAACCTAGACAGCATATTAAAAAGCAGAGACATTACTTTGTCAACAAAGGTCCGTCTAGTCAAAGCTTTGGTTTTTCCAGTAGTCATGTATGGATGTGAGAGCTGGACTATAAAGAAAGCTGAGCGCCAAAGAATTGATGCTTTTGAAGTGTGGTGTTGGAGAAGACTCTTGAGTGTCCCTTGGACTGCAAGGAGATCCAACCAGTCCATCCTAAAGGAGATCAATCCTGAGTATTCATTGGAAGGACTGATGCCGAAACTGAAACGCCAATACTTTGGCCACCTGATTCGAAGAGCTGACTCATTTGAAAAGACCCTGATGCTGGGAAGGACTGAAGGCAGGAGGAGAAGGGGAAGGCAGAGGATGAGATGGTTGGATGGCATCACTGACTGAATGGACATGAGTTTGAGCAAGCTCTGGGAGTTGGTGATGGACAGGGAGGCCTGGCGTGCTGCGGTCCACGGACATGAGTGAGCGACTGAACCGAACTGACTCCCGAAGTGTACTTCTTACCTCTGGTCTCTCTACTCTCCTGGCCGACTGATCCTTCCCCGCTGCCAACAGTTACCCTTATAAAACATGTATGTGATCATGACACTTCTCTACTTAAAAAGGCTCACTGCTGTCTACAGAACTGTGTCCAAGAGCTCAGCACAGGAGGCCTCTCCCAGTTGGCCCTGACCTTCCTTCTCAGCCTCTGCTTTGGATATCTGGCTCTTCACCCAACACTCTTACATAAAACAGCCCCACAGGAAACTAGGGCAGTCTGGCATTCCACAGTTCACCTCCTGTGTCGCAAAATGGAAAGGAAAGGTGTTTTTCACTTTTTCCTTACATTCTATTCTGTTGTTATAAAGTAAAAAGATTTGCCTAAAAATTAAATTTTAAAAAGCCATATAACTAAAAACAATGTGCGCGCACTCACTTGAAACACATGTATGTTTTACTATTTTTTTTTTTTAATAATTTTCACCTACTGTCAAAGATCTGGTATTTCAGAGGAGGGCATCCTGTAATTCATTTGCAATTCCCTCAGAGTAGGATTGTCCTTCTCCCTGAAATGCAACAATTTCTCTTTCTAAGCTGGCAAACTACTTACTACTCACTGTTAAAATCCAGTTCAAATATCTCTTCTCTGGGAAGCTTTTTCCTCCAGCCTTTTATTTGGTGCATTTTTCTTTCCTCAAGGCTCCGGAAGAGGGATTAGCTCTCTTACAGCTCTACAGTACTGCCTGTAATTACTTATTTATACAAAATAGATCTTGAGACTCTTTAGGGCAGAGTTCTACTCTGAGTCCCTAGTTCTTATTTGGTGGTTGGCCCACAGTAAGAAATCTTATCACTGGATACAAGAATGAATAAAGTCTCAAAGTCCCTACTCTCTTTAGATCTAGCACCATTTGATGTGGACACGCCTTTGGACAAATCACTTTGATAAATCAGGCCTATAATCCTGGAGAAGGAAGGTGTGCGTGCGTGCTCAGTCATGTCGAACTCTTTGCCTTGCTATTGACTGTAGCCCACCCCGCCCCAGGCCCCTCTGTCCATGGAATTTTCGAGGCAAGAATACTGGAGTGGGTTGTCATTTCCTCCTCCAGATCTTCCCCACTCAGGGATCGAACCCGCGCCTCCTGCATGGGCAGGCGGATTCTTTACCACTGAGCCCCTGAGAGGTGGAGAAGGTCCCAAACGGTAAAAGTGTCCGCCAAAACCTAGTGACATCTTAATTACTACCTTCTTCCCCACCACGCCTTTCACACCATCCTGACATTCTCTAGGATGGGGAGAATATGGTGCTCAAGATGGATATTTTTCTCTGCCTGGTGGAATAGCTTCGCTCTTTTTTGATTCTTAACATCCAAGACAATTCAGACTCCAGTGTTCCTACTGGGGTTGGGAGTAACATCCCATTCGTTCATGGAGACATCCAAAGTCTGATTTTCCCCACTGGACTCAAAAGAGCCCCACCACAGCGCTCACCCTGGGTCGAAGACTGCCTACCGCTCGGGTGGGGTTTTCCAGCGGCTGGGGAAGCGCGAGCCGGGGAGGCGCTGGGGGCGTCGCCCACGGCCGCCAGGCTCGGCTCGCAGGGTCGGGCTGCGGTTGGCCACAAGAGGCATCCATCTTCCTGGAGAAGCGCCGCGCTTGCTTACCGCGCGGGTGGGGAGGAGCGGGGCGAGGGTGGAGAAGGGAACGAGCGGTCGGTCGGGCCCCTCCCGCGAGCCCTGCCCCGCCTCGCCGAGCCCGGCGCGGCCGCCCGAGCCGCTGCCGCCCGCAGCTCGCTCCCCAGGCGCCGGGGAGCCGCGGGCCGTGAGCGCGCCTGCAACTTTGCGGCCGCCAGGGGCGCGGCTCCTCCCGGGGCGCGTGCGGGTGTGCGGGTAGCCGGCGGCCTCCTGGGGGCAGCAGCGGCAAGGGGGACGGCGAGAAAGAGGCCGTCTCGGCGCCCGGTGGCCCAGGAGGCGGAGGCCCCGCGAGGCGCCGGCGGTGGAAACCTAAACTCCGCCGGGGCTGAGCCCAGGACGCGTAAGCCATCCTCGCGGCGGCCGCCCGGGACTCGCTTTGGGATCGCGATTCGTCTCTCCTGCCCCGGGCAGTAGCAGCCGTGTGTGCCGACGGAGGAGCGGCAGCAGCATCCCCAGCCGGGGCGGGACCCCTGAGCGCCGGAGCGGGCGGCCGAGCAGGAAGGGAGGGTCGCGGCGCCCGCCCTCCCCGGCTGGCCCTGCCCCACGCGCCCGGTGCGGGGGGCTAACAATGGTGCGGAGCGCCGGCGCGATCCCCGCGTCCGCCCAGCGGCTGTAGAGGAAGTGGCCGGGCCCCGGGTGGGGTGGGCAGGGAGACGCCCCCCGCCACTCGCCCGCTGGAGTTCGCCGGCGCGCCGGGCCTCGCCGGCCGCGAGCCCTGGGCTCCCCGCCGCATCGCCGACGGCAGCTCGATCCCGAGAGTATGGTGCCAGCGCCCGGGTTAATCTAGTCCTCGGCTCGCTCCTTTTTCCCCTCCTCCTCCTCTCCCTCCCGTCGGTGCTGCTTCTGGGGTCCCGGCATTTGGGAGTACAACTCTCCGCTTCTCGAGGAGACTGCCTGGTCGGTGACCCCGCACAGAACTTGCCCATTGAGAGCCAACCCCGAACAGCTGGATAATGTCCACTCCGAGCAGATTCAAAAAGGACAAAGAGATCATCGCCGAGTATGAAAGTCAAGTCAAAGGTACGGATGGGAGCGGCTGCCTCGCTCCTTTTGTGTGCTTCCTTGGCATTGTGCTCCGGGAGTTGCGTTTCTAACTTGGGGGTCTGCGCTGGAGGAAGGTCGCGAGGGACCACCGGAGCGCCTGGTTGAACCACCCGGGGCTTCGTGAAAGCCAGGCTCAGCTCCAGTCCCGTCGGGTCCACGGGGAGCTGGAAACCGGGTGGCTCTCCCCCGCTGCCAGCTCGCCACCTCCAACAGGGGAGAACTGGCTTTAAATTAACCACCTTTTGCCGGCCACTTACACAGGAGGTGGGCAGCAGCGGAGGTTCCCCCCAGGGATCTTCACCAGCATCTTTGTTTTTTTTTTTTAGAATAATACCATTGTCACAGCCATTGATACATTGTCATGTAATTTTTTTTTTCTTTTAAGCAGTCGTTTTTTCTGAAGTCTGGACCCGAAGTGGTCTAGAGCTTCCTTGAGTGCAGGAAATTGGCGACATTTGCACTAATCACTAATTTATCAGGGCGAGTCCCCCTTCTATAAAACAGCTCCCTAAAAGCCTGGCAGTTAAACCAAGAAAGGACTAGTGGAATCTGACTCTTCCTCTATAATGGGCCGGAATTCAGTGCCATCTTTCACACTCACACGGGGATATTGCTTTATCATTTGCTGGAGGCCACTTGCATGTAAAATGAAGGTTTGAATGTTTGAGTAGTAGTTTGAATCCATTTACATGGTCACCTAATGAAGGAATCTAGTTAAGGTTGATTATGGCATTTTTACTCAATGTGTCTTGAGGTTTAAAATATATATTTTTCTCTCTGGTACAAGTATTTTGTGTTGCTGTTGAAGTGTTTAATAAACATATATTTGTTGTTTATTTTTTCCTCTTCCTCTATGGTCTCTCACTGGTAGCTTTTCCCATCCATTGAGACAATGGATGGAATGTTGAGGTTACTGCTGTTCTTTGGAATATTCAATACAAAGTTGATAAAAATTGCTTTGTAGACACCTGTGTTTGTACAGACACAATCTTGTGAAAGGGCTGCAGAGAAAGGCATTCCTGTACTTGTCTTGGGAAAGTCAGGAGCAGCCTGGGAGTTCTTTTGTGTGGTCAAGTTGTGAAAATGCCTGGAGTCCGGTGAAAAGACCTGGTAGGGAAACCCTCTGTGAATCAGTGAGAATCTGGACCTACTTATGACCAGAGGCAAAAACTATCTGCAAGCCCAGGGACTTATATTTCCTTCAGGTTGACTCCAGTAATGGAGTGAAGATGAACACTCTTCAGGAAACAGATTTTTATCTGCTTGCAGTTATAAGATAATGTATGCTGTGGGAACTGGTTACATTGACATGGAAGTTATTTTAGCAGAGAAGTAATTATTTGCTTAGAGACAGATAAACTTTCTAATGAGCATAACCTTTCCTTTCTTAACAAGGCAACAGCCTTTCTCAGGTAGAACTCCCGTTCACGATCATCATTTCTCTGTGCAGTTTTTCTGCACGGCTCTTTGTGGCAGGTCTTCAAGAGGTGGCAGTCTGGCTTTCGTACTGTCTGCAGCGCTGACTGGCAGCTTCTACTTCCAAGAACTGGTTTCTTTATTTCTGCTCTAAGGTTGTTTGTTCATGATGAAGTCCGTACCTGAAAAATATTCTCATGATTAGTGAATTCTATAGTTACCTGGTTACTTATATACTTTGAGAGTTTAGGCCCTGAACATTGGTTTAAAAATCAATAAAATGGGATGTGTTGCCGTGTTTAAAACGTGACCATCAAATCCAATCCAAGGAAAAATTATGAACATGATGAAAATTATTTTTGGAACCAATTCCGACCCATAAAAAGTAGTCTGTTCCCTTCAGCCCTCCTCACTCACCTGTGAGTCCTCAGGCAGCTTTGTGACTCTTTGCTGCGCCTGAACTGCCTTTCTCATCGGGGTCTGTGTCCACATTCATCTGCTTCCTCTGCAATACTGACACATCCTGTGTCTAACCCAGACCCTTGCTGTTGTTGACGTTCAGTCGCTAAGTCATATCCAGCTCTTCATGACCCCATGGGCTGAACTGTTATCTTCCCCTTTTCACACACGCCATTCTCAGGACAACTGCACTTCTTATGATAACTGGGTCCGAGATACCCAGGGGGACGCTGCAAAGCTTCTCACCACCTAGCCCCAGAAGTTCCAGAATCACTTTTGCCATATTCTGTTGATTGTTGTTCAGGTGCTGAGTTGCACACCCAGCTCCTCTGTCCTTAACTATCTCCCAGAGTTTGCTCAAATTCCTATCCATTGAGTTGGGGACGTTATCAAACCATCTCACCCTCTGCCACCCCCTTCTCCTTTTTTTTTCCCCCCTTCTCCTTTTGCAGCCGACCTTTCCCAACATCAGAGGCTTTTCCAGTTAGTCAACTCTTTGCATCACGTGGCCAAAGTGTTGAAGCTTCAGCTACAGTCTGTCCAGTGAATAGTCGGGGTTGATTTCCTTTAGGATTGACTGGTTTGATCTCGTTTCCCCTAATACCAGATCCTTATATCCATATGTCAATATGGGAGTAGGGAAATCCAATGGAATTGGACCATATACACTTTGAATGGCACAAATTCACCTGAATTTACTAGGCAATATCAAGAAGACAATGAGAGAGAAATGAGAATTAAATAGTGCCTGAGGCCTGCTGTCTGTGAAGTGAGAATAGGTCCCTCATTAAGAATAGTTTCAGAGGTAGGATCCTGGTTTTCTGTTTCTTTTCCTGAGCCCCTCTTTAAGGTTGAGTGTCTCATCCAGGCAGAATGCTAGTCCACTAGTTAAAGATAGGTGGTTTTGGAACAACCAACTCTTTCAGTTCTAGCAGTTATTTCATCTGATGGTAAACCAAAGGAAGATGGCTCATTCTATCGCTGGAGGAAAACCTAGCTGTATTGGGCTCATTAAGAGAAGACTTAACAGGTCTCTTCTGAATTAATAAAGCCACATATATTGAACTCTCTGGATGACTTACATATATGGGAGAGTCATCTTTGCTTTAACTTTTTTCGTAATGAATTCATATATGAGTTCTCAGGGAATTAAAGTGTAATACCCAGGTAGAGCAGTAGTAAAGAATCCACCTGTCAATGCTGAAAACAAGAGGTGGGTTCGATCCCTGGGTCAGGAAGATCCCTTGGAGTAGGAGGTGGCAACCCACTCCAGTATTCTTGCCTGCAAAATTCTATGGCAGAGGAATCTGGCGGGCTGTCAGACATGACTGAGCACTCATGTACTCATTCATTCACATAGAGAACACAGAAAAAATAATAAAATCACATTCAGAAAAGTAGAGCACGGGATTGTAAGAGGGGGAAGAATTGGAGGTTATGACTAGTTAAAGGAACAGATAGGTTTAAATCAAGGACAAAAACACCCCAAGCAATAATTTAAAAGGCATGTGTTAGGAGGAGAAGGATTATTTCATGCATGTTGGTCAATTTCCCAAAGATTTAGAATCCAGAGAAATTAACCTCTTGTTTGTGTGGGGCCTTAAAAGGCAAGCTGGTCTGGAAAAGTATATGAAACTCAGACCACTTGACTATACTACTTTTAGCATCTCTGGCAAAAAATTTAGCAGTGGAAAAGATCATAGCAAGTGGCTAGCAGAAGGTTTGAGGATTATCTGTGGATTTCAGAGATCTAGTAATTTTTGAATTCTGCAGCAGAAATATACAGTCCATATAAAAAATATGGGTTCACATATGGGAGTCAGAAGAATCAAAAGACATTTTATGAGGTGAAACTCATGGATGGGAAGTTGTGTTTGTTTTTAATAATGCATGTTGTTAGTTGCTAAGAATTGACAGCTATTATTTGCAGTATTTTCCAAGGGATAATCTCGTACTCTCATCTACATGCCATATGTGCAGGAAGTGCCAAGAAAATCTGTTGTTCTTCAACCACCCTGCTGCCTGAACTACAAATAGTACATTTTGGTAGCAGATGGAGCATAAGAAATTGCCAGTTCAATTTGATAGGACCTCACATCATGTGATAGGTTTCAGTGGGGAAATTAAAAGTGGTTCTGTCACTCATACGGAACCTGTGTCTACGTCTAATGTTCTTTCATTTAGCTTGTAATAGAAAATAACAGTTTAAATTGTGAATTAAAATTTTATAGTTGGGAAGGACTTTAAACATTTCCTGTCCAGCCCACTTATACAGTATAAGGAGGCATCATGTCAGTTGCACAATTAACTGTAATATATGTGCGACTGGAACCCAGGTCCTCTGCTTCTCAGTAGCAGATCAGGTTGGTTTGGTTTTTAGATTCCTCACAAAGTAGAGTAGGAGATAGAACACTTACCTATTTAGACTTTACATCCCTTGAAGAAATCATAGCTAGATGAAAGACAGAGCAACTCTTATCTATTAACAGGAGGAGTTAATTAAAGTGATTAACAGCTAAATTTCAAGCAAGATCATTTCAAGAAACCACAGTGCCCGGGCAGTAGCTTCACATCATGCCTTTGAGATCAAGGGGAAAAAATAGGTGAATATGTGCAAATGTAACGCATTTAAAATTTTGGTCATGCTAATTGTAGCCATTGCAATAAGACCTCTTAGATTGTCCAGAAAACCTGATTAGTTTCATGAGTTCGAAAATATCTTAAGGAATAGTTCTGGAGAAATTCTTAAGCAAAGCATGTTCTTCTGAAATACAGTGAGGGTTGGCACATGCTATGGGATGAAAAATCTGAGCTCTAACCATTTATATTGGTTTCTTACTCTGAGCTGAGATAGATAGGTCAGGAACCCCTACATCCTCAGCTCTGGTCCAATTGAGAGTCTACTTTGTGGATTGACCAGACCCTTTTTTATGCTACTTGTTTTTATTTCAAATTATACCACTGAGAATTAAGATTAAAAAAACAAAAGCCAAGTAAAAGGTATGTCTAATCACTCAGTCTCTTTTTGTTTTAGTGGTTTGAAGTCAGAAACTGATATTAGAGACAGTTCCTTGAATACTTTTTTGGTAATTGAAGGTGTT